GAGACGCAAATTAAGAACATTATGAGGGGTGATGATAGACGTTGGATATTGATATATTGCACGAAGAAATGTAGTACGTGAATATCCACAAATGAAGATGTTCAAATCTATAAGTTCATAAATATACGGAAATGTTGATGTTTAACAGAAATTTTAACTTAAAACTTTTTCAGTGGTGATAATAAATGCCTTATCAGGTACATTATTGAGTGCTCTAGAAATGTGACCGCAAACTTTTTTTGCATCTGTGAGATTCTCGTTGATATTCACAAGCTACTTTTGTGTAGTGATGAACGATTCAATAAACGTTTCATTCCATCGAAGAGTGTTTGTGCAACTGACATAATTCAATTACCGCTTTCCGGAGGCAGTCTCAGTTGAATGAGATAGATAGATATATATGCATGATCTCTGACATTAGTCAATTGCACGCATTTCATATATTATCAACTTTTTGTTCACTTTGCACTTCCCTAACCTCGGTAACTATCGCGATGATTCTTCAGTCTTTTAAACCGAAAAATGTCCAACTTCAGCGAGAGTTCGTCGAACATACGACCAGAGGCCCTCACACTGTTGAAATTTCGGAAGAGCGGTTTGAACAATCATGATGAAGAGTACACTTTTGAGGAACAGCTTTATCAAAGGCGAATGCATAAGAGTAATATTTCTGAAATATCAACGATTTTCTCAATAACGAGGTCGATATTGATACCGATATCGTTTTTCAGTACCGACGATACCGCTATTGATGAGCAACATTTGAAATATAGAAATGTGACTTGTTCAACACATTTTTTTTACCCAATGTGTTCATAATTATTCAAAAAACAATTTCTTTAACAAGTCACTCACCAAAGCTCAAGAAATTCAACAAAAAACAAAAATTAATATTATGAAAATGGTCTCACTACGTTTCCATTCACTCAATGCTGCGGTCGTGATGAATATACTACCAAATTCATTTAAAATGACCTGCGGTATGAATGCCGGAAATAGCAGCACCACAAATCCCGAGATCGTTATCGCTTTTCTAATAGCAGTATTCGGTATTACGGAGATCTCGTGAAAGCACTAGATAAGACTAGGCTGTGCAAAAAGCAAAATTCGTGCGGTTATCTCAGATCATTGCCTCAGTTAATGCATCAGTCTATACTCGTACTGCGCTCATGGTTTGTTTCATTGCTGAACACTTCATGAATAATCCGAGTGAACGTTTCGCAGAGAATGAAAGATCAAAACTTTTAACTAGTGATGAACGTTTCCGTTTGAACTTTGGTTCGTTAAAGAACGGCGAGCGCTCGGGTCATGGAAGAACGTCTGTCTCATTCTACAAAACGCATTTTAACGATTTTTCAGCTGAATGGGTTTGATTTGCAGAAGTTTCGTTTCATATTGTTTGTTTGCACGCACGTCTTATTTCTTCGAATAATTTTGTCTTGTCTTCATCTGACGCTGCGTCGATTTTAAATGTTTCTGTTCGAGATGCTAATGACTGTTAAACAAAATCAAGGCAAATTGTTCAACTATCGGAAGCACTCATTTAAAAGTCGTCGCATTCTTTGAGATGATATTGCACGTCTCTCAAGCATCTATTCGATTCTCGAAGCGATACGCATTCCATTTCATTCGCAACTTAAACACTTTCATATTCTATTGAATGACCTATTGTAGCGCATNAAAGCATTGTTCAGAAAGTATTTACTCTTTAAATATTGCTCAATTTTGCATCGTTGAAAATTATTTGAAAATACATCGTTACTATAACTGAGGTATAGTAATTCTTGCTCCACCATCTCAATCAACAACTAACTCTACGTCGCGTACAAATAGTTAATGTCAAAAAATATCTGAAAAAATTAGGCATACCTTATCTGACAATGTGTAAAAATTTATGTGTATCATCTTTAAAGGAAACTCTTGAAAAGTAATTATGAATGTTGTTTGATTGGCTTGTGTAAGCGAAGTAAGAGTGTTGCTGAAAATGAAAACGTGTTTTTAATGTCTCAGACTGATCAAAACATGTGAAGTCAAGGTGAGTATTGGTTGAATTCCATATGCAATGATTTATATTTTATTGAGGAGAGATTCACATTTGAGAGTCTATTTGATTTTCCTATGCTCTCAGCTAGATCACCTAAATATAAAGGTATATGCTCGCAGTTTGCATGCTTGAATAATGTCCGATGAATACGGTTGTTAGCCATCATTTTGTGGTCGTCCTGAAACGTTGAATCAGTTGATGTATTAGAGTTCGAATATGTACTCAGCAAACTTGTTATAATAACGTAATAATCTGATCTTGATCAATACTAATCCGGAAACCCTCTCGGATCAGTCGTTGTCAGCAACACAAATGGACTATCAGTTTGAATAGTTGTGAGAGAGTTCATTGGTGATGTCTTCCTGAAGTATTCATCGCAGAAAGATATCAAGTTTGCAAGTATTTTATCAATTAAATTGAAAGTATCGAAGACCAGTGATCTTGTTCTGGAATCAAAGAATATACACAATATTATCGACTCTTTTTTATTCAGATTGTCGTAAAAATATTTTGTAAACACTATTAACACATTCATTCCACTGCGTTTCTAATTGAAACGTTCATTTTAGTAAGACATTTAATCAATCATTCGTTTTTTGCTTCTAACTGTGAACGCATTCACTTTCAGTTTTTGCTGTTTTCTTTGGAAAACAGTTTAATCGCGTAAACATTTTGTCTAACATTCGTGATCATCAGTTCTGTGCAATCTAATAAGGTTTTTCCTCCGATATTGTTGAACATTCGAAATACACGCAAATGCGCAATGAATGGCTCATTTGTGAAATGATTTTAACTCAGTCGTATTGAGTTTTAATGAGCAAAATCTCGGCAATCTAATAGGGGTTTTTGCATCATTTCGCTTCAGAAGTATCGAAGATCGGCAATCTTGTTCTGTAATCAAAGAATATACACAATATTATCGACATTAACAAATAATTGTGATTGTTTTCAAGTAATTGTTTTTGCGATTCAACCTCGAGTTAAGTGTTGACTGCAAATGGCTGTTATTACTGTTATTACCTTTTCGACGAACACTTCGACGTAGAATATGTGAAAATCACTCGATTCATTGTGACTTGGATTAGGTTTTTTCGCAGTCGTTACTTCTGGCTTACTTTCATCGAAAGTATCATGAATTTTGATCAATTTTCCGATGTCTTATTCCTTTTCGAAATTATTATCCTTACTATTATCCTGATTGTTGTACTATTCATATCAGCAATGTTGCAAGTATTCTTGATATTAGTTGGTTTTACTCAATTCGAAATTACTCATTAATGTAGTATGTTCATTTATTATAGCAGAGATCTTTTGGTATGAAATTAGTAGGCAAAGGCAATAATGAATATGACACAGTAATTCATATGTGATGTAACTCTCACTGAAGCGTGACGTTAATCATTCAGAACAACGTTGAAATGATTAACATACCAATAAATTGATAATAAAAGAACGAGAAAGCGACTTCACCACTGGAATTCAAAGCAAAAAGACTCTCTCATACTCGTAGTTCATTGCAGCATCCAAGTTGGCGTCGTCATCGGGACCTCAGTTGCCGGCGCCTCATCGCATTCGCCCTCCTGGGCTGCGAAAATCAACCGCTGTCAGCGAAGAAACGATGGATGAGGAGACCGGATCGCCGAATGCTGATAACCCTACGCCTAGTGATTCTTCGGCCGTGGCTCTCAGCTCTAACCTTTCGATCCATACCACCACATTAACTGCTACCTCAAGTAGCTATGTGAACTCAATTGGTGGGGTCACTTCCAGTTGGGATGGCAGTAATCTAGTGGTTGGGGGGCAACGAGGAATTCCTGCTAGTAATTTAATGGCTGCAGTTCTTGCAACGTCATCCGGAACGTCGCTAGGTCGACGTCAAGTCAGCCCTTCAGCAATAAATCTAGCAAATTCACAGTCTTGCTCGTCTCCTTCCAGCTCGGCATCTACCCAACAATCGTTGCTATCTATATCACCACAGATTCCACAACCCACTGCTACAATTCATTGTACTAAAAGTGAGCCGTTAGCTGGAGATGATACACTACCTGGCAGTAATCCTACTCTACATCATGCTCATCATCATTCTAATAGATCAGTTAGTACTGTTCACGCTAATTCGGTCCCACAGATGAAGATTTCAAAGTTACATGATCTGGCTGCAATGTCGACGGTGAGCTTTTGATTGAAAACTGTTTAGCTGCTTCTTGTGTTCGTAATGCTATGCCAGTTATAATTTTATATTGATATTTTATTTTGACTTCCATATTCAATTCATGTTTTAATCGTAATCATGACTTTCATATCCCATTTATTTTGCAATATTGGACACACTTGGTGCTATTCAGTTTATTGACCAGTAAACATTTCGACTTCAAAACCTTCCTGTGAATTGCTGGCAGTTGAAATTTAGTGGAGTCTGTTG